AATGCACTGAACCAATGCAGCAATTCTGGGAACAATGAGATGAGGATCGAAAAGAAAACTAATGTGCTATTAATTACTCTATAGTATATGGTATTAATTATAGTATTGTTTAAATATATATTTTATACTCACTATTAAGTATTTGATAGTTTTTGGTTTACCATCCAAATATCTTTGAAATACCATTACATCCAAGTCGAGATCCAAGTATCTTTCACTACAGTATGTCCATTGTTCTGTCTTGAAAATTGAAGTTTGTTTCGTCCTTTATTACACGCCATAAAGGTGAAATATTGTATACATAAGTTCATAATCTTGAAAGAATGCCTGGAGTTGCTAAATATCTTTGTACAAAGCCAGAAAGAAAATATGCTTTAGCCCAATAATATATAAAACTTAAAAATCGTGTTTGCTCATTGTTTACATCAAATCTGAATTCACATATCTCAAGAGGAGGCGGAAGTGACGTATCCTATATAATTTTCACTATGGCGAGCGAGCGACTGGTTCCGAGAGTATACATATTGAGATATGGCATATAGTAAAAATGCTATTGACGAACAGCCATGCTGTCGACCGGCCGAGCACAAACAAACATTCTAAATTTTAAAACAATCTATTTTTCTGGATTTCTGGTGTGCGTATCCCTCTTAATTTATTGCGAATGGGAAGTCTATAACTGTAACGCCATACCACTATATTTCATTCTACAAAATTGTAATCAAGTAAATGTCGCAAAACGAAGACTCAAAAGAGTATGACAGAACTACAAACTGTGTGAGTGTCCGTATGCATATACATATATTAAAAGCTTTAAAAACATTACCTCATGATATATATTATATAAATTTTAATATTATTAGTTGATCGCTTTAGGCTATATAAGTATATTATATAGCTACATATGTATAAGAAGCTTTAAAAACAGTATCTCATGATATATATTATATAAATTTTAATATTAATCCTTTTAGGCTATGTAAGCATTATTATATATAGCTTTTAATACGCATCAAAATATCGATTTTAGCAACAATTTGAACATAATTTATAAGGGATGGTAATCTTAATTTCACGATCCGTAACCCTATCTTACCAGTGGTACCACTGGTACCATTCGACATTATTTTCAAAGGTACCCCACCTGCCATGACCCTTGGATCACGGATGGTAAACTTACTTTCACGATCCGTAACCCTATCTTACCAGTGGTACCACTGGTACCATTCGACATTATTTTCAAGGGTACCCCAACTGCCATGGCCCTTGGTTCACGGATGGTAAGCTTACTTTCACGATCCGTAATCATATCTTACCAGTGGTACCACTGGTACCATTCGACATTATTTTCAAGGGTACCCCAACTGCCATGGTCCTTGGTTTACGGATGGTAAACTTACTTTCACGATCCGTAACCCTATCTTACCACTGGTACCACTCGACATGATTTTTAAAGGTACCCCAACTGCCATGGCCCTTGGTTTACGGATGGTAAACCTACTTTCACAATCCGTAACCTTATCTTACCAACCGTACCACTGGTACCACTCGACATGATTTTTAAAGGTACCCCAACTGCCATGGCCCTTGGTTTATGGATGGTAAACCTACTTTCACGATCCGTAACCTTATCTTACCAACGGCAACCGTACCACTGGTACCACTCGACATGATTTTGAAGGGTATCCCAACTGCCATGGCGCTTGGTTTACGGATGGTAAACTTACTTTCACGATCCGTAACCATATCTTACCACTGGTACCACTTGTACCACTCGACATGATTTTGAAGGGTACCCCAACTGCCATGGCCCTTGGTTTACGGATGGTAAACGTACTTTCACAATCCGTAACCATATCTTACCAACTGTACCACTGGTACCACTCGACATGATTTTGAAGGGTACCCCAACTGCCATGGCCCTTGGTTTACGGATGGCAAACTTACTTTCACGATGCGTAACCATATCTTACCACTGGTACCACTCAACATGATTTTGAAGGGTACCCCAACTGCCATGGCCCTTGGTTTACGGATGGTAAACGTACTTTCACAATCCGTAACCATATCTTACCACTTACCCCACTGGTACCACTCGACATAATTTAGAAGGGTACCCCAACTGCCATGGCCCTTGGTTTATGGATGGTAAACGTACTTTCACAATCCGTAACCATATCTTACCACTTACCCCACTGGTACCACTCGACATAATTTAGAAGGGTACCCCAACTGCCATGGCCCTCGGTTTACGGATGGTAAACTCACGATCCGCAACCCTATCTTACCAACCGTACCACTGGTACGGATGCACTGTACAATAGACACAAATCGACAACAATACCAATGGTAGATGGTATATTTATGAAATTTACCATTCGTATCGTATCGTGGTATTGGACCATGTTCCAAATACGTTCGTGACATCGAAAGTGGTGAGTTTTTGAGCTTGCTAAATTATTGCCAAAAAATTGAAATAAGTTAAATGTTGGTTCCGATTCTTCTGACAACGTGGGTTTCACAATTTCCTCTACGGGAATCTCATTAACACCGCGCAAGCCTCAAGTACTGACTAACATTGAAGAGTGGACAACCGCTTTCAACACGTATATGTTAATCATATAGTACAAAAATTTCCAAATCGTGCATCAGAACTTTTACAGTACATGGAAACCATCCGTCATGCGGCAAAAACGCATGGCGGTTTAGGCTGGTGCATATATGACCATTTTTTTTCACTATAAAGCCGCCGCGTGTCGAACATTGTCGTGGGCCAACATTGACATGCAGTTATGGTTGCGTATTTTCACCGCTAGCTCTACTCAGTTGCGGGAAGATTATTCCTTTTTTTCTAACGGACCCTCAAACAAAGCTGGGGCAGCGAGGGACGGAATTTGCCACAGCTACAACAGGGGTAGACCTTGCCCATTACGACCTAATTGCCCTTACACTCACCGATGTAACCGAATTGGCTGTGGGGGGAACCATCCTGAGTACCAATGTCCACAATCCCCTGGGGAAAACGATCACAACGACGACCACCCTTCACAGTCCGCCCGTAGCTCTGCGAAGACCAACAGAAAATATAACTGTTTGTTTAAAGTGTAGTATATATAATAGCAGTAATTCAATACCTTTAGATAATACTATAGTTACGCCAATTCGCGTTGACGCGCTTGAGTGCTCTTTGTGGGCATCCCAATTCATCATTCGTTTTGAAACTCTGTTCAGACTTGCGTTTCGGTGCTCGTCTCGGTTACGATGGTCCTCGCATGTCAAAATTTTCGAAAAACCTCAAGTCTGCCATTGACAATCCAACTATTGTTTCAACTAACTTAGCTAAGGAAGTTGCTCTTGGCCACACAGCTGGTCCTTTCACCAATCCGCCATTTGCTAATTTACAGGTTTCGCCGATTGGCATTGTACCTAAAAAGCATTCAGATAAATTTCGAACCATTTTTCACCTTTCGTTTCCAAAAACGGGAGAATCAATCAATTCCTTTATCGAGAAAGACGACTTTTCATTGCAGTACACAAAAGTCGACGACGCAATTGCGGCTTTAATCCGCTTAGGCAGAGGCACTTATCTAGCTAAAACAGATATAGAATCTGCTTTTCGTCAATTCCCTGTTCATCCTGACGACTGGGAGTTATTAGGCATATATTGGAACAAGTCCTATTATTTTGACAAAGTGTTGCCATTTGGTCTGCGTAGTGCGCCGTATATTTTCAATCAACTTTCGGATGCACTTGAATGGATTTTACTCAACAAGTGTTTTATAAGCTATGTTGGGCACATTCTAGACGATTTTTTCATCATGGAACCACCGGCCCAAACTGGGCTACCTTCTCAAGCATGCCAAACTAGCCTTTCTAGCATGATCGGATCATTTGAATATGGCTGGTCGCATTAATACGTGCTCTATAAGTTTTTGCTTTATTTTCTGCTTTTTTCTGATATTTGGCGGAAAATCTAGAAGAAATGGAGCTGAAATCATACCATGGAATGATGGCAGTGCTTATTTTGTCTGCTAAACCGTTATTGCGAGCAGATTTGGTGGAAGTTGTCTACGTGCTGGCCAAAATGACCGCCATTTTGACAACTGGTTTGCTGTTTATCATGCTTGCAAACTTGTTCAACACGCTTCCTTGGGTTTGATGTTGGTCGCTCTTTCCGGAGATATTGAAGTAAACCCTGGCTACCATCATGTTAAAGACCTTAAGGATATTAAAGGCTTAAAGATAGCTCACTTAAATGTGCAAAGTGTCAGGAATAAGGTCGACTTACTTCGCCTTGAGGTAACTAATGATAAAGTGTTTGACATTCTCACTTTATCCGAAACCTGGCTGAATGACTCTATTTCGGACATGGAAATTCAAATGCCTGGTTATTGTGTTATTCGTAAAGACAGATCAGGAAATAGGCTTGGTGGTGGCACGATTGTTTACATTCGTGACGGGTTGCCTTTTAGTATTTGCAATGACTTGAACACTGATGATAATGAATGCCTTTGGATTCAAATTTCTCGGCCCAAGTGCAAGCCTATATTTCTTTGTAGTGTTTATAGACCACCGAACTCTGATTTGGCGAGGTTTATTTCCTCTATGGAGAACAGTATAGCAAATATTGGCCCCAAGAACTGTGATATATTATTGCTTGGTGATTTTAACGTAGATTTTACTCCGGTTAAAGGGAAA